CCTCTAATCTTTTTCTTAACTTCAGTGTGCTTGATGTTGTCAGCTTGAGGATACCCAAGTATTTGTAGTACTCTTCCTCATCCAGACTCTTAATGTTATTTTCGTGGGGCATCTTGATTCCTTCAGTTTTCACTATTTTCCTTGTTTGATAGTAGTGTGGCACATTTGTCACAAGCCAAACTCATTACAATATCTTGGCTATATATACGGACAGTGGAGCAGCGATTCTATTTCAGATGATGTTTTTCCATACAGCTTACAGAATCATCACATGTACAGGAGGTTAGGATAGTCTAGCAGATGTTTTTGATGTTTGATAAACCATGTCCTGAGTTATTCAGTATTGTTGACAGAGGAAACAGTGCAATAACAAATAGTAATGGTGATAATGAATCTCCTTGAAATATTCCTCTCTTGATATTAACCTCTCCCAGCTTTTCACCATTGATCTGCAACTGTGTCTTCCATTGTGCCATCGATTTTTGCAAAAATTTTCTGATGTTTCTACTTACTCCTGTTATTTCTAGGCACTTGATTATCCAATCATGTGGCAGAGAGTCAAATGCCTTTTTGTAGTCAATCCATGGCACATTCAGGTTGGTCTTCCTTCTCTTGCAGTTTTCCAAGATCATTTTGTCTATTAGGAGTTGATCTTTTGTTCCTTTGCTATTGGGGCGGTTTCCTTTCGCTCAGGTGGAAAGAGATTGTTTTCAACTAGATGTTGTTGTACTGCATCAGCTACCGCACCAGTTAATAATTTGAAAGTTGTTGGTAAGCAGGTAATTGGCCTGTAGTTGCCTGGTGTTGCCCCTTTTGCTGATTTTCATTATTAGTAGTTTTCCAGTTGTTAGCCACTTTTCAATCTCCTCCTGTAGTATATTGTTGAACTGCTTGGCAATGAGTGGGTGTATAACAGTTAGATGTTTCAACCAAAACCCATGCAGTTCATCTGCACCTGGTGCTGACCAATTTTTGATTTTCTTTGCTCTTTTTTCTACCATTTTTGTTGTTATTACTAGTTCTTTCATTTCAACTTCTGTTTTATTTGCATCCACCTCGTTTAACCAAGCCGCATCCTTGTTGTATTGCTTTGGGTTATCCCATATACTGCCTTCAGAATTGCACTGTTTCGTCCTTGTCAGGTACTGACTGATTCTTTGCAGTTTCTCCATTGATGGATTGGTAGAAACGGTTCTGATTGGATTGAAATTGGAGGTTCTGCCTATAGTTTGCAATTCGAGCTTCATATCTACTGATTTTCCTGGCTATAGCTGTTATTTGTTGCTTTATTATTTCCAGTGCTTCCTTGATCTTCCTTGTTTCTAAGTGGTATTTCTTGATTAGGTATTCTTTGGTCTTCTTGTTCTTCAGCTTCTTTTCATTCATCTGTTCTAGCTTGCTTGCATGTGATCTTAACTTGCTGATCTTATTTTCTAGTCTAACCTTCCATTTTTCTGGTGCACTTGTTTGTTTGTTTTTCTTTTTTGGTTGATTTACATCCCAGGTATTCTGTTAAAAGGCAGCTGTGCTGGCCATTAGTTGGTTGTTTCTGCAGTGAATGGTGCTTATACTTGATATTGCAGTATTTGCATCTTTAATGCTTGTGCTAGCTGTTTCTTTGGAACAAGCTTCAATGCAGGTAGCCTTATTCTGTTGTTTTTGTGCTGTTCTAGATGCTCAGTTATTCTTTGTTTCAATTCTTTTATTTCTTTAGTTAGAGGGTTTTTTTCTTCCTGAGGAAGAGGTGCCTGGTTTCCAAATGAGAACAGTTGTATATCTCTACTGGATTCTTTCACTGCCAACTCCCCCTGGTTTGCCTCTACATTCTGAATTACTTCTTGTAAGGCTTTGATTTCTTTGCCCTGGGTAAACCTTTGCAGTTCGTCCAATTCTGTTTCTGTAAATACTTTATTTCGTGTTATAAATCGGCGTTGATCTGATAGTCTCTGTTCTGTTATTTCTGATTCTGGATGTTGTTCTTTCCAGAATTGGTGCATTTGTTTTAGATATCCTCGTCTTGTTGGACTTGATCTGTAGTAACAGATCATTATTTCTTTGTTTTTCATCACTGTGTATCTGCGACGGGTAAACACCTTTTCTTCCAGTAGTTCTGCAGCTGCTGGCCCTGGTTGCTCAGCCAACAGTCCTGAGTCCTGTAACCCATTTTTCACCAGATATCCAGGAATTCCAATATCTAGCGTGGACCTTGTTAACCTGGGCGACGTCCGAGCCGGTATGGCATTCTGAAATTTACGTCTCACCATATTTTTTATGGGAGAGACACTCTTTGTCTGACTCCTCTGATGAGACCTGTCCAGTATGGTTGAATCTCTGGCATAGCTCTCATCTTCCTCAGAGTACACAAGCCCCACAACCCCGTCAAGGTAGTGCCTCACTGGGAGTATTATTATTATTATTATTATTATTATTATTATTATTAGTCTAAGTGCTATTGCTATTGCTGTATTCAGGAAGGTGTTTATGTTTTTCTGATTATTTTTGGCAAATAATGGGTGTTAAATGTTTCATAAATGATAAAATTATCTTTCCCTTCAAAAGAGTAGAAAATGTCCATGCTATTTCTCAGTCAAAATGGGCCCCCTAGCAGCATATATCTAGGTTTTAAAAAATGGTGAAGAAACAGCAACAAGTATCAAGCTGTGAATGAAAATATAGCAATGTAGCTTACAGCCAGCAACAATTAACCAGGAAAAATAGTTCAACTCTTTTCATAGGCCTCTTAGAATAAAAACTTATTGCTCATAGGCAGGATATGGTTTGACAGAATCTGTGAAGTATATTGTATATACCAGGGGTGTCAAACTGTTGGCCCACAGGCCAGTTTCATCATACCGAAGCCGTGCCCACCCCATTGCCGGCAATGCAAAAAGAGTCATGATACGTCGCAACACGTCACGTGACGTGGCATGTTTGACACCCATGGTATATACCCAGGTTTATAGCTTGCTAAATCTATACAAGAGCCAGTTCAGTTTAGCAGATAAATTATCATGCTAGAAACCAGGAACCCATGAGTTCTAGTCCTACTTTAGGCACAAAGCTAGTTGGGTAACTTTAGGGCAGTCACTTTTTCTCAGCCATAGGAAGGAAGTAATGGCAAACCACTTCTGAAAAGCATTGCCAAAAAAATATAGGGACATAATAATAATAATAATAATAATAATAATAATAATAATAATAATAATAATAATAGTAATCTCCCCCTAGCAACTCAACACACAAAAACCATTTGTTAAAAACACTAATAATACCCCAGTGAGGCACTACCTTGACGTGGTTGTGGGGCTTGTGTACTCTGAGGAAGATGAGAGCTATGCCAGAGGTTCAAACATACTGGACAGGTCTCATCAGAGGAGTCAGACAAAGAGTGTCTCTCCCATAAAAAATATGGTGAGACGTAAATTGCAGAATGCCATACCAGCTCGGACGTCGCCCGGGTTAACAAGGTCCGCGCTAGATATTGGAGTTCCTGGATATCTGGTGAAAAATGGTTACAGGACTCAGGACTATTGGCTGAGCAACCAGGGCCAGCAGCTGCAGAACTACTGGAAGAAAAGATGTTTACCCGTCGCAGATCCACAGTGATAGAAAACAAAGAAATAATGATCTGTTACTACAGATCAAGTCCAACAAGAAGAGGATATCTAAAACGAATGCACCAATTCTGGAAGAACACATCCAGAAATCAGAAATAACAGAATGAGACTAGCAGGATCAACCGCGACTTATAACACGAAATAAAGTTATTTTACAGAAGAAACAGAATTGGATGAACTGCAAAGATTTACCCAGGGCAAAGAAATCAACGCCTTACCAGAAGTAATTCAGAATGTAGAGGCAAACCAGGGGGAGTTGGCAGTGAAGCAATCCAGCACAGATATACAACTGTTCTCATTTGGAAACCAGGCACCTCTTCCTCAGGAAGAACAAAATCCTCTAACTAAAGAAATAAAAGAATTGAAACAAAGAATAACTGAGCATCTAGAACAGCACAAAAACAACAGAATAAGGCTACCTGCATTGAAGCTTGTTCCAAAGAAACAGCTCGCACAAGCATTAAAAGATGCAAATATTGCAATATCAAGTATAAGCACCAATTCATTGCAAGAAACAAACCAACTAATGTACAGCACAGCTGCAGTTATAACAGAATACCTGGGAGGCAAAATCAACAAAAAAGAAAAACAAACAAACAGTGCACCAGAAAAATGGAAGCTTAGACAAGAAAATAAGATCAGCAAGTTAAGATCACATGCAAGCAAGCTAGAACAGATGAAAGAATAGAAGCTGAAGAACAAGAAGACCAAAGAATACCTAATCAAGAAATACCACTTAGAAACAAGGAAGATCAAGGAAGCACTGGAAATAATAAAGCAACAAATAATAGCTATAGCCAGGAAAATCAGTAGATATGAAGCTCGAATTGCAAACTATAGGCAGAACCTCCAATTTCAATCCAATCAGAAACGTTTCTACAATCCATCAATGGAGAAACTACAATGAATCAGTCAGTACCTGACAAGGAAGAAACAGTGCAGTTCTGGAAGCAGATATGGGATAACCCAAAGAAATACAACAAGGATGCGGCTTGGTTAAAGAGGTGGATGCAAATAAAACAGAAGTTGAAATGAAAGAACTAGTAATAACAACAAAAATGGTAGAAAAAAGAGCAAAGAAAATCAAAATTTGGTCAGCACCAGGTGAAGATGAACTGCATGGGTTTTGGTTGAAACATCTAACTGTTATACACCCACTCATTGCCAAACAGTTCAACAATATACTACAAGGAGGAGAAATTGAAACAGTGGCTAACAACTTGAGAAACTCGTATCTCTAATAATGAACTAAATCCAGCAAAAGGGGCAACACCAGGTAACTAACAGGCCATTACCTGCTTACCACCACATTTTCTAATATACTAACTGTTGTAGTACTGATTCAGTGCAAAAAGCTCTAGTTGACATGCTCTAACATCTCTTTCACCTGACGCCGAATAGGACAACATCGCCACACTAGCAGAGGAACAAAAGATCAACTCCTAATAGACAAAATGATCTTGGAAACTGCAAGAGAAGGAAGACCACCCCAAATGTGGCATGGATTGACTACAAAAAGGCATTTGACTCTCTGCCACATGATTGGATAATAAAGTGCCTAGAAATAACAGGAGTCAGTAGAAACATCAGAAAATTTGTGCAAAGATCGATGGCACAATGGAAAACACAGTTTCAGATCAATGGTGAGAGGCTGGGAGAGGTTAATATCAAGAGAGGAATATTTCAAGGAGATTCATTATCACCATTACTATTTGTTATTGCATTGTTTTCGTCTCTGTCAACAATACTCGCATGCAACTCAGGACAATGGCTATCAAACATCAAAAACTCTGGCCGAGACTATCCCCACTCTCCTTTATCAATGGATTAGCTGAAGCTGTATGGCCAAACATCACTCTGAACCTCGGAATCGCTGCTCAAACATCTCGTCGGATACTATATTCCTGAGTATATTGCAATGGAGTTTGGCTTGGACAAATGTGCTACACTTACTATCAAACAAGAAAAAGTAGTGAAAACTGAAGGAATCAAGATGCCCACGAAAATAACATTAAGAGTCTGGATGAGGAAGATTACTACAAATACTTGGGTATCCTTCAAGCTGACAACATCAAGCACACTGAAGTCAAGAAACAGATTAGAGGTGAATACATCAAGAGAGTGAAGAAGATCTTAAAGTCCAAACTCAATGGAGGAAATACCATAAAGGCAATCAACACCTGGGCAATCCCAGTCATTAGGTACACAGCTGGAATAGTGGACTGGACTCAAGCAGAACTAAAAGCAATGGATAGGCAGACCAGAAAAATAATGACAATGAATCATGCCCTTCATCCACGCAGTGACATTGATAGACTTTATCTACCAAGGCAAATAGGTGGGCGTGGAATGCTACAAGTACATCAGATGGTTGAAGAAGAAAAAATGGCTTTGGAAGAATATCTGAAGAACAATGATGAAGATGCACTGAAATTAGTATATCAGGAAGGCTTACTAACTACTGGAGAGACCAAACTGGCCTACAAGAAAGACCAAATGAAGAACAGAATAGAGGCATGGGAAGACAAAGCACTACATGGCCAATACATGAAAAAAATAGCTGGGAAAGCAGATAATAATAAAACCTGGCAATGGCTAAGAGCAGGAAAATTGAAGAAAGAGACCGAGGGACTAATTCTGGCTGCACAAGACCAAGCCTTAAGGACAAATGCATACAAAGTCAAAATTGAGAAGACAGCAACAGACAGTAAGTGCCGCCTATGCAAAGAAGCTGAAGAAACAGTGGACCACTTGGTAAGCTGTTGCAAGAAGATTGCACAAACTGATTACAAGCAGCGGCATGACAAAGTAGCAACAATGGTGCATTGGAAGATCTGCAAAAAATATCATTTGCCTGTAAGCAAAAACTGGTGGGATCATAAAATAGAGAAAGTCATAGAAAATGATAAAATTAAACTGCTCTGGGACTTCAGAATTCAAACAGACAAGCACCTGCAACATAACACCCCAGACTTAACAATTGTCGATAAGAAAGACAAAAAAGTCTGGATAGTGGACGTGGCAGTGCCTGGAGATAGCAGAATAGAAGAGAAAGAACTGGAGAAGATAACAAAATACAAAGACCTACAAATAGAAATAGAAAGACTGTGGCAAAAGCAAGCAAGGGTAGTACCAATAGTCATAGGCTCCTTGGGTGCAATCCCAAAACAACTGGAGCACCACTTGAACACAATTGGCATTGACAAATTCGCTATTAGTCAATTGCAAAAGGCGGCCTTATTAGGAACTGCTTCCATCCTGCGACGATATCTGTAATACCATCAAACATCCACATCTGCCTATCCCAGGTCCTGGGTAAGGACTCGATAGGTAGACAAAATGCCAAATCCAGTCTGAACATCTGGCTGACTGTGCGATGATCGATAATAATAATAATAATGATGTTGGAAGGGACCTTGGAGGTCATCGAGTCCAACCCCCTGCTCAGGCAGGAATCCTACACCATTTCAGACAAATGGCTGTCCAGTCTCTTCTTAAAAACTTCCAGTGTGACATCCATGCACTTCCGATGGGCCGTTCTAGGCCTGGGAGACCTCCTTCAGGCCTCTAAGGCCTAGAACAGACTTCCAGAAGCAGCGTGGGTTCAGCCGGTTCTCCAAACTCAACAAAATTCAGATACTGGCTCTACCGAACCGGTGCAAACCAGCTGAATCCCACCACTGGTTGTCAAGCATCTGAATGTCAATCACGTGACCGTGGGGATGCTTCCAATGGCCGTACGTATGAAAAACGGTCGTCGAGGACAACCTGCACAAAAACATGGTTGTAAGATCCACTTGTCAAACGGATTTCCCTTTTTGTTGTCATTTGCACAGCGGTGACTTTAAAAACAGAGTTTCTCCAGGTGGGCTATGTTAAGATGCGTGGACTTCAACTCCCAGAATTCCCCTGCAGGCTGGGGAATTCTGGGAGTTGAAGTCCACAAAGCTTAAAGTTGCCAAGGTTGGCCACTCCTCCTCCAAAGGTTACAAAGACTCGGATAAAAATGTAAGAGTATTTTATATGGTTTCTATATAGACATAAATATAAAAATAGGTGCATGATAATTGGCCTTGGTTATGTGCCCCCTCTTTCCATTTTTTGTATTTGTCCTTTTTGTCTTTTAGTTTGTTAGAGAGATCTTTGTGCAGCCATGCTGGTTTCTTCTTGGATTTCTTGTTTTTCTTTCTCAGTGGTATTGCGCTGGTCTGGGCTTTTATGATCGCATTTTTCAGGATTTCCCACGCTTTCTGGGTTGTTTTCCCCTTTAGGATTTTCATCCATGGGAATTTTTCCTAGGTTCTCTCTGAGTTTGTTAAAGTCGGCTTTTTTGAAGTTTAGGATGTTGGTTAGATTGTTTTCTATTGCTAGTGTTTGCCTTATATTAAATCCGTTTGACAAGTGGATCTTACAACCATGTTTTTGTTTAAGCAGTCCTTGATTTACAACAATTCATTTGGTGACCATTCGCAGTCACAACGGCACTGGAAAAAAGTGACGTATGACCGTTTTTCACACTTACAACCGTTGCACCCCCCTCCGCGGTCACGTGATCCAAAATTGGACGCTTGGAAACTGGCAGGTATTTATGACGGTTGCACTGTCCCAGGGTTACGTGATTCCCCTTCTGCAGGAAAAGCCAACGAGGAATCAAGATTCACTTAACAACCGTGTTACTAATTTAACAACTGCAATGATTCACTTAACAACCGTGGCAAGAAAAGTCATAAAATGGGGGGGGAAGGCTCACTTAACACACATTTCACTTAGCACAGGGGTAGGCCACCTTGGCTCTTTCACGACTCGTAGACTTCAACTCCCAGAATCCCTGAGCCAGCCACGCTGAGGAGAAAGGGAGAGGTTTCCAAGCTGACCCATGCTGGCTCAGGAATTCTGGGAGTTGAAGTCCATGAGTCATGAAGGGGCCAAAGTTTCCCCCATGCTGGCTCAGGAATTCTGGGAGTTGAAGTCCACGAGTCATGAAGGGTCCAAAGTTTCCCCCATGCTGGTTCAGAAATTCTGGGAGCTGAACACGTCATAAAAGAGCCAAGGTTGCCTACCCCTGGCTTAGCACCATAAACGTGCATTTCCTTCCGGATCAATAGGGAATTAGCAAAGTCTCTTTTAGGGGCCCTTAACGGGAGCGTGCAAAATCCGAATCCTACAATCTCCCCCTTTCCAAGGTCAAAACAGCCCTGCTGGTTTTATCCTCAAAAGCTGAAGTTTCTTTCCTTTGGGTCCTTAAGGGAAAAGCGGAGGAGGGGGAGCATAGGACTCCCCCCCCATTCCAAATTTGCTCGCCTCACCTTGGTGTGTCCAAATTTGTACTGGTTGTGGTCAATGTCCAGGGAGCTCAGAAGCTTCTCGGCCCCTTTCCGGCTGTCGATGAACTGTCCCTCCGGGATGGACGCAGGGTTTAAGATGCGGTACCTGGTGCGAAAGTAGAGAATTGGCTGAATTTTCCTGCTCAAGGTTAACCCCAAAGAAGGGGGGGGTGTTTCCCACCTATTCTCCAAAGTACCTGACGGCAGGACAAGAAGCAACGCATGGAAACTAATCAAGGAGAGAAGCAACCTGGAACTGAGGGGAAACGTCCTAACAATGAAGACAATTAACCAGTGGAACTGCTTGCCACCGGAAGTTGTTTGTGCTCCCTCACTGGAGGTTTTTAAGAAGTGATTGGACAGCCATTTGTCTGAAATAGTATAAGGTCTCCTGCACTACCTGTGGTCTTTTTTAAAAAGTATTTTATTAATTTTCTATTATTACAATTCATTAGTGCTTAATGAAGGCCGTGTCGTCTAGATTGATTTTTGTTTGCTTAGTCCTAAAAGTTAAGTTGCTACTCTCTGTCTCGTTTTTTTCCAGCCATTGATAAAATAAGTTCCATATCTGAAAGTATTCTGTTTCTTTGATAAGGTCTCATCAAGTGGCCTTAACCCAGGGGTAGGCAACCTCGGCTCTTTTATGACTGGTGGACTTCAACTCCCAGAATTCCTGAGCCAGCCATGCTGAGGGGAAAGGGAGAGGTTTCCAAGCTGAGCTAGGCTGGCTCAGGAATTCTGGGAGTTGAAGTCCACGAGTCATGAAGGGGCCAAAGTTTCCCTCATGCTTCCTCAGGAATTCTGGGAGTTGATGTCCACGAGTCATGAAGGGGCCAAAGTTTCCCTCATGCTGGCTCAGGAATTCTGGGAGTTGAAGTCCACGAGTCATGAAGGGGCCAAAGTTTCCCTCATGCTGGCTCAGGAATTCTGGGAGTTGAAGTCCACGAGTCATGAAGGGGCCAAAGTTTCCCTCATGCTGGCTCGGGAATTCTGGGAGTTGAAGTCCACGAGTCATGAAGGGGCCAAAGTTTCCCTCATGCTGGCTCAGGAATTCTGGGAGTTGATGTTCACGAGTCATGAAGGGGCCAAAGTTTCCCTCATGCTGGCTCAGGAATTCTGGGAGTTGAAGTCCACGAGTCATAAAAGAGCCAAGGTTGCCTACCCCTGCCTTAACCCATCCCATGATCTTCATTCTCTTTCTGTTAGGCAGGCTGAGCTGAACCTCCCCAAAAGATCCTTTCTGAACAGCAGGGGAGTGGATTCACCTTTGCCTGAAGTCCCCGTAGAGGATCCGGTTGGGGAATCCTTTCCGACAGATCCGGATCCCCTCCAGGACGCCATTGCAGCGTAACTGGTGCATGACCAAAGGGTTGTCCATTATACCTAAGAAAGAAAAGGAGACACTAAGAAAGGAGGGAAAATTAAAAGATTATCCCCCCTTGGAAAGATGCATCCTGGCCCAGTGTCTGGATTCACACAACCACACTAAACCCAAAGGGCATAACAAAAACAAAAATAAAAAACCCACAAAGGAGAGGTTTGTGCAATAGGCAATGGTCAAGAAATGAAATAGAACAGGGGCCTCAACTTCAGACTTGTGGACTTGTGGACTTCAACTCCCAGAATTCCTCAGCCAGAGTGCCTGGCTGAGGAATTCTGGGAGTTGAAGTCCACAAGTCATCAAAGGGCCTATTTTGAAGACCCATGCTTGTGGACTTCAACTCCCAGAATTCCTCATCCAGCGTGAGGGAACTGTGACCCTTTTATGACTTGTGGACTTCAACTCCCAGAATTCCTCAGCCAGCGTGAGGGAACTATGACCCTTTTATGACTTGTGGCTGAGGAATTCTGGGAGTTGAAGTCCACAAATCTTAAATTTGCCAAGGTTGAGGACCCCTGAAATGGAATGTTCTGAATTATGCAACCGGCTGTAACGGGCAGGTAGTCCTCCACGTCCAATCAAATTTTGGAGCCACAAATTTCCATTGCCGTTAACTGAGTTTTGCCCCATTTTGCGACCTTGCTTGCCACAGTCGTTAAGTGAGTCGCTGCAGTTGTTATGTCAGTGACACGGTTGTTAAGCGAATCTGGCTTCCCCCCATTGACTTTGCTGATCTGAAGGTCGCAAAAGGAGATCATGTGATCCCGGGACGCTGCAACCGTCATAAATACGAGTCAGTTGCCAAGTGTCTGAATTTTGGGTCGTAAGTGTGAAAAACGGACATAAATCCCTTTTTTTCAGTGCTGTGGTAACTTTGAATGGTCACTAAATGAACGGTTGTTAAGGGGGACTATTGCTACGCTAACTGGGAGCAATTCTGCAGTTCACAATCTTTAGAGATCTGATGCAGCTAGTCCTCAACTTACAACAGTTTCATTTAGTGACCGTTCAAAATTACAACGTCAAAAAAGTAATGATAGGACCATTTTTCACACGACCGTTGCAGCATCCTCCATGGTCACGGGATCAAAGTTCAGATGCTTGGAAACTGACTCATATTTACGACGGCCTCAGTGTCCCGGGGTCACGTGATCTCCCTTTTGCGAACTTCTGACCGGCGACGTCAATGGGCGGAAACTAGATTCATTGAACAACCCTGTTGCTAACTTAACAACTGCAGTGATTCCCTTAACAACTGTGGCAAGAAAGTTCGTAAAATGGGGCCAAACTCACTTAACAGAAATTCTGGCCTCAATTGCGGTCGTACGTCGAGGACTACCTGAATTTCCCTGCTAGGTGTCGCCTTCCGCCTTGCCGTAAAATGCACGCAGTTTTTCTGAATTTTGTGGAAGGATCCAATTTGTGGTGCCGGGGGTCGGCAACTCGGGCCCCCGCCCTGGCCCTCGGCCCTTGAACTTCCAGGAAGGACAGGAGGACTTCCTTTCTCCGTTTCCTTCCTGGCTCTCAGCCAGCTGTCAAACAGGAAACGAAGACGAGAAGGAGCAGCGTGATGCCCAGCTGACTCCGGCAAGGACAGAGATGCCGGTTAAGGGACGGGAGTCTTGCCAGTTCCCCAATCTGAAGGCCTGGCTCTCCCGCCCCGTCAGCGGATCCCTGTCCATCCCACTGGATTACCGGGCTCCTTCCGTTCGTTGGGGATGATGCAGCGCACAAAATGAGGGTGGGTGGTTTTGAGGTTGGCCATCAACTTGTTGAGGTTCTCCTGCAGGAAGAAAGGAGAGGATGAGGAGGAGGAGGAGGAGGAGGAAGGGAGGGGAGCAGGGCGGGGAAGGGAGGGGAGGGGAAGAGATAGAGGGAGGGAGGAAGGAGGGAAGGAGAGCCAGAGGAAGGAGAGAGGAGAGATGGAGCAAGGGAGGGAGGAAGGAAGGAGAGAAGGAGAGAGAAGAGGAGAGAGGAGCAACCGAGGGAGAGAAGAGGAGAAGAGAAGAGGGGTAGGAAGGAAGGAAGGAAGGAAAGAGTAGAGACAGAGGGAGGAAGAGGAAAGAGGGGAGAGGAGGAGAGAGAGAAGCAACAGAGGGAGGGAGAGAAGAGGGAGAGAGAAAGGGAAGCAAGGGAGAGGAGAAAGGGATGGATGGATGGATGAAGGATGGGTGGAGGAAGGAAGGAAGGAAAGAGGAGTAGAGGAGAGACAGAGACAGGGAGGAAGGAAGGAAGGAAGGAAGGAAGGAAGGAAAGAGGAGTAGAGGAGAGACAGGGAGGAAGGAGAGAGAAGAGGAGAGAGGAGCAACCGAGGGAGAGAAGAGGGGAAGAGGGGAAGGAAGGAAAGAAAGAGGAGTAGAGACAGAGGGAGGGAGGGAGGGAGGGGAGAGGAGAGAGAGAAGCAACAGAGGGAGGGAGAGAAGAGGGAAAGAGAAAGGGAGAGGGAAACAAGGAAGAGGAGAAATGGATAGATGGATGGAGGGATGAAGGATGGGTGGATGGAGGAAGGAAGAAAGGAAAGAGTAGAGGAGAGACAGGGAGGGAGGAAGGAGGGAAGGAGAGAGAGGAGGAGAGGAGAGAGAGAAGCAACAGAGGGAGGGAGAGAAGAGGGAGAGACAAAGGGAAGCAAGGGAGAGGAGAAATGGATGGATAGATGGAGGAAGGAAGGAGAAAGAGGAGAGATGGATGGAGGGAAGGATGGAAGGAAGGAAGGAAGGAAGGAAGGAAGGAAGGAAGGAAAAACAGAGAGAGAGGAGGAGAGGGACAGAGAGGAGAGAGAGAAATGTTCATTATGTTTCTCTTGGCAAACCCCAGTAAGCTCTAAGCCAGTCTTTCCCCACTGAGCTGTACGGACCCCCAACTCCCAGAATTCCCCAGCCAGCACGCCATGTTGGGACCCCCCCCGCTCTCAACCCTGTCCCAAAAGCCCCTGCTGCGGCTTCTAGCCAGCTCCCAATCCCTGACTCCCAGCTCCTCCCCCTGGGAAGCCTAGAACCCATCCTCCTCGTCCGGGGGGGGGAGTAGGGGGGTCCGGTCTCCTACCCGGTGTAGCGCTGAGACGGTCTGGAAGGAGGAGCCTTTCTTCTTGGAGCCTTTGCCCTTCCCGCCCTCTCCGCCTGGGGAAGGAAAGAAGGGTGAGGCCCGGAGGATCTCCCAGCGGCACAAGTCCAGGGAGTCCTCGACTTACGACTGTTTGTTTAGCGACCACAATTATGACGGCCCTGAGAAAAGGGACCGACAACTAGTCCTCATACTTACAACCTTTCCTTTCCTCTTTTCTGTTTTTCTTCTTTCCTTTCTTTCCCTTTCCTTTTTCTCTCTTCCTTTCCTTTCCTTTTTCTCTCTTCCTTTCCTTTTTCTCTCTTCTTTTTCTTTCCTTTTTCTCTCTTCCTTTCCTTTTTCTCTCTTCCTTTCCTTTCCTTTCCTTTTCTATCTCCATTTTCTCTCTTCCTTTACTTTTTCTCTCTTCCTTTCCTTGCCTTTTTCTCTCTTCCTTTCCTTTTTCTCTCTTCCTTTCCTTTCCTTTTTCTATCTCCATTTTCTCTCTTCCTTTCCTTTTTCTCTCTTCCTTTCCTTTTTCTCTCTTCTTTTCCTTTCCTTTTTCTATCTCCATTTTCTCTCTTCCTTTCCTTTTTCTCTCTTCCTTTCCTTTTTCTCTCGTCTTTTCCTTTTTCTCTCTTCTTTTCCTTTCCTTTTTCTCTCTTCCTTTTCTTTTTCTCTTCCTTTCCTTTTTCTCTTCCTTTCCTTTCCTTTTTCTCTCTTCCTTTCCTTTCCTTTTTCTCTCTTCTTTCCTTTTTCTCTCTTCCTTTCCTTTTTCTCTCTTCCTTTCCTTTCCTTTCCTTTTTCTCTCTTCTTTCCTTTTTCTCTCTTCCTTTCCTTTTTCTCTCTTCCTTTCCTTTCCTTTTTTCTATTCCCTTCCTTCCTCCCTCCCTCCCTCCCTCCCTCATTCCTGATGTGTAGCTTTCTAAATTACAGTAGATTCCACCCCTTTGTGGGTTCCATCTCTCCCAATTGTCCTCTTTGCCTTCTCCAGGACCTTCCCAAGATGGTGAGGGCCCTCAACCCCAGAAGATAAGACCCATTGGACCCCAGCTGTGGACGCTGGTGAGCAAAGAGCACCTTCATCCACCCCGAATGCCGGTCACCCCAACTCTTATTTTCCCAAGTCGCATTAACGTCAGCTCTCCAAGAGATCATCAGATGGTCATTTCTGGAGCATCTTCAGATCAAGACCACCCTGGAGATGCAGAAGGTTCAAGCCAACCGGGACCAAATTCTCTCTTCCCTCCCCATCTCACCCGCCTCGCTGCCCGTGTAGGTGGAGAAGAGCGTGGCCAGCAGCTTCAGGGCGGACTTCTGGTAGAGGGCCACCACGGTATCGTTCAGGGGGTCTTTGTTCTTCTCCAACCACCCGTTGATGTTGTAGTCCACGGTGCCAGCATAGTGCATCAGGGCAAAGTGAGCCTCCGGCTTCCCCTTGGTGTTGCGGGCTTTTCCGAAGTTGGAGGACTTGCCCAGGTGGTTATCGTAGAGTTTGGCCTTGAAGGTCATGTCGCTGGCCTTGGGGAACATGCACTCTTCTTCCAGGATGGACATAATACCCAGAGGC